TTTTCTAAATTGAGATTGACCAAACTACTCAAAGATACCCTTCTGGAGAAGAATGTATTATGCTGTCGTGATCAGTTCATTGAACTTTACAAACTATAATATATCTGACTGAACATGGATACTCACACTTGGGAAATTTTTCGTCGTCAATGTGATTATTGATATTAGTTGTTACATATGACTAAAGTACATATGTCATGTTATCTAACGCATCTATCGTTAGATCTTCCTTACAAAAGAAAAATAATATAGAAGTTTTGCTAAAATTTCATTCGCTGTTTAGATCTGTGATTGACACAATGGATATGAGGGAGCAGAGTAAAATTAAAGAAAAAAATTAGATAAATATGAGAAGTACTATTTGGATTGTTCTCCTTTTTCGTTGAAAAAAAAAATGAAAAGAGAAACAAAATAAACAAATGATGATTTCTATTTCAAGAAAATAGAAAGATCAATTTATTTTTAGATAAAATGAAAAATAAATTCGAAATATTACCGAATGAAATATTGTTAAATATATTTGTATATCTCTCATGGGATGAACTCTTAATATCATTCTGGTCATTAAATAAACGTATTAATAATCTTATATGTTCAATATTTGAAATAAATCAAAATGGAATTATTTTCAATAAACCAGGTTTATCTTATAAAAAATATTCTAAAATATTATTACCATTAATATTTAATTCATTATCTCTTTGTTCTTCTATTAAATATATTCATGTTGATGGAATAAATTCAATTTGTTTGAATTTAATTTATCAAGATATTTTTTCTCATAATGATGATAAATCAATTCTTCGTTTTCCTAATCTCAAGTCATTTTATATAAGTCGATGTTTATTATCTGAATCATTAATTCAAACATTATCTTTTCTTATTCAATATCAATTAAATAAACTTACATTAACATTTGATGAAGATATTTACGAAACATTTAGTTATGAATGCGAAAGTTCATCAATTGTTTCTGATCAAGGTAATTAACAATTTATTTAACAGACCTTTCTATAAGCAAGATCCAAGTTTATGGTTTGGAAGTAAAAGTTTCTCTTTATAGCGGAGAGACGTAAGGATGAGAATGAGTCACTAATTATCAGTAGTGTCTCAGTCAAGATGAGATCCTGTCCCGTTTCTAAAACTGATATTTATCCCATTGAATTTGCATATCATTGTCTTAAAAGAAGTAACTTGAATAAAAAAATCAATTATCAGACGTTTATTGAATGTATAACTACATGAAAGACATCTATTGACCAATTATTTTAATGACATCAATTATCTTTATGAAGAAAGCAAAATTGATCATTGTCAAAGGTTCCGTATTCTAAACTGTCATTGATAGATCTATTTGAATGTATAAAAGATAATGGATTACTTAAGATGATTTATATGTTGAACAATAGTTATTTTCGTATTGTTTAAAAATAGATTTCAATAATTAAAAAACAAAAACAAAAACAAAAAAGCTGTTAGCAAAATTTTTGTAGAGATTAAAATGTGAAACGACACGAAATAACCACGACCATTAATGGCAAAGGATGTTTAGCAAATCAATTTTAATCAGTATTGTATAAATTCGATATTTTCTTCTAATGATCAGCCGATATTAAATCAATATTTTCCTAGATCTTATTAGTTTGCCTATAATCTCATGGGTTTTGCCTTTTAGTAATTTATAAAAATATACAATAAATTTCACTTTAGAGGTTATGTCTGTGACAAAGACTGTATAGGGCATTGCTATTATGTTTGTCACAGTCTATGATGAGAAGGTGTATTGGTAAGGCGCATCTATCATGGTCTGTGGAAGGAGGAAGATGGGTCCAAATTTTTAACTCATTACTTCAACACTCCTTTTAGTTCGTGTTTTATAAAAGAGAATTTATTATTTTTATAATTATACAAATATATTCAAAGATTTTGTTCAATTATCTATACAAATTTTCACTTTTGGAGTAAATATCTATTATTTGTTAAGAAAATTCTATCAGTAATCATTTGTAGAGTTTCTCTATGTTTTAATATATTCTCAAAGTAAAACTTCAATAATATGTTAGACTTGAACAACAAAAACAAATCATTCATATAATATAGTTTGTGAAAACTAATTCTAATATACATTTTCATATTTCTACAAAGAATTATCTGCTTTTTAATTAATACAAAGGAGAAAAGATGATCTTTTGTTTTATTGCTTTTCTATTTTTATATTTTGGTAGCGCTTACAAATAGAAAACATCTGTTTCTATTAAGTGAATAAAAAGATTTCATTTGAAATATTATAATGATATAAATGACTTCCCAGGTGAAAAATTCTTATGATGATCGTATAAGATCTTACAAGATATTACGGACCATCGGATATCGTAAGATTCATACTGTATGATCTTACAGAATCGTACAAAAATCTTACTGTAAGATTCTTACAAAATCTGATGATCAGATCGTATGAGACCTTGTACGATCGCATAAGAACTGATCATCAGATTTTGTAAGAATCTTACAGTAAGATTTTTTATAAAATCTGATGATCAGATCTTATACGATCATATAAGATCCTAATAATAAGTTTGTCTTGTGTAAATAATTTTTATAACGATAGTTTCATGTATTTAAATAAATTCTTAAGCGATTAAATACGTTCTAATTCAAATGATGCATCCTTTAGTTTTGAAAATACATCTTCTATATATTAGTGTCTATCTGGTAAAAAGTTACACCACTTGTTAAATCAGTTTGACCAATCAAATTTATTGTTGTTTAGATAGTAATGTCGAATAAGTTATTTTTGCACTCCAAGTACATAAAAGATAGGAGAACAGATAAAGACATTGTACGTATCTCATCAGAAACAATAAGGAATCGATTCTTACTTTATCTTACTTTTTCTCTTCTTAATATCCGACACATTCACCGACGTCTTCTTATAAAATGACGAAGAATCTTCTCGTCGGTGTTTTTAGTCTATATTATCTATTCTATGATGTACGAAAGTAAATTGCGCACATCATTGTTAAATAAGTCTATCTTGTCTTTATTACTTTGATTTTCTTGTCAGGTGTAGATGTGATTAGTAAATTTTTATTAAAATGAATCAACAAAAGAGAATCAATGATTTGATAGAGATAGGTCGTCAGAGAAAGAAGAAAAGATTAGATTTACAACGTAAAAATTACAAATATCATACTGATTTAGCAAAGAATATTGTTGAAAGTTTCACTACAACAACTAACCATTTCACAGTTGAAGAAGAAAATGATGAATTTAAATGGAATGATTCAATTAGTACTTTGTACAATAATACAAATGGAACAGGTAGTTCCATTATTACAAATTATGATCCATATTTACACGGTGAATATTTACAAGATGTAAATAATAGTGCATTTTTTACGTCAAAAGCAATTGTTCAAGAACAAGAATTAACATCCAGCAATAGTTCGAATTATTTGAATAGGGATAACAGTAAAACATTTGAAAGTTTTACAATTCAAACTGAAGGTAAACTTATATAATAGTGTTGATTTATAGTATTTATTTTAATTGAATTATCTTTTATTTTATTTTAGATCATATGAACAATTGGTTCAATCAAAGCAAGTATTGATTTAATTTAAATTATCCATTATTTTTATTTTAGATGATAACCACAGTAGATCCAAATAAAGCAAGCATTTTTTTACTTTAAATCAGTTATTTATTTTTATTTTAGACAACAACAACGATTAAGCCAGACACAATAAACATTCATTTTTCTAAAGATTTTTTTTTTTACATAATTTGATGTATTTAGTGGATTTATTGGTTTATGAATTAAAATCAAAATTATTTATTTATTTCCACCGATCATTTAGTCAATTGATTGTTTATACATTAAGATTCAAATTATTTATTTACTTATTTATTTATATCAATTGGTGTATTTAGTGGATTTATTGGTTACGTATTAAAATTAAAATTATTTATTTATTTCATTGATGTAGCTATATAAATTTATTGTTTATTAATTAAAACCAAAATTGTTTATTTATTTGATTTGATTCGTTTATGTTACTTTATTGGTTATGGATTAAAATTAAATTTATTTATTTAAATTGATGCATTTGTCGAATTTATTGATTATGAAATAAAATTAGAATTATTTATTTATCTAAGTTGATGCATTTATGAGAATTTATTGATTATGAATTAAAATTTTATTTATTTATTTAAATTGATGCATTTAATGGATTTATTGA